TTTTCTTTGCTATTTGCTTAAGGAAAAAATGCAGTTCTAAAAACTTTGTTTTAAACAATCAGATTTTTCTATCCTTTTTAAAAAACTGTTTCATTTCTTTCTACCACATACATGCCAAACCTCTTTAGAACTTTGTATTATTAAACATGAGCATCTTTTTAGAAGATTTTATCATAATCAGACCAGCATTTGGGTGCATTTAATTGGAAGTTGAATGGGAATAATAATGAGAATAATAATCCAACTATTGAAATGACCTTGGTTAGGTTCTAAATTAAACTAAGTCATTCTTGTGACCAGTTGTATTCTATGGTAATGCTTGTTGGTTCAGTTATGACTTGAAAGCTTAAAATCTAATCATGAATAATAATGACTTTCAGCACTTATTTTCACAACCATAAGAAATGACATTATTTACAGAGAGAATTACTCCTACATATAAAATGAATCATTTATAGGAAGAAACTGTTAATATGTTATTATACAGGAAAAAAAATAGAAAGTTCTAACATAGTAAATAAAGGGATGCTAGATTTATTGTATTCAAACCAGTAAGTCATCATTTTCCCAGTCTTAAAAGTAGCTGTTTGACACATTAAAGGTATAGCTTACTACAAATTGAGGTCTATTAGGGCTTAAAGATCCTGAAAACATGAAGGGGTATTGCCAAAATACCTACCTGACTTTCACAAGAATCTTGTCTCCAACTTTATTGAAGAATTATTGACAAAGAAAATTGTATATATTTACAGAGTTAGTATGATGTTATGATGCTCACATACATTGTTAATTGATTAAAAAGAGCACATTAAATAATACATCCATCACGTCTTTTTGTTATTGTTTAGAACTTTCAAGATCTCTTCTCATCAGATTTCACATGCACATTTTCCATATTAGAATAGTCATCATGCTATGCATCAAATTCTCAGAATGTATTCATGTTATCAAATGTATTCCCTTGTCATATTTATCATTCACCAGCCTCTGACAATCAGCTCTCTACTTTCTATTTCTAGGAACTTTATTATTTTTTTCAATTGCTCTGTGACACCATACAATATTTTTCTTTGTTTGGATTATTTAACTTAATATAATATCCTCCAAGTTCATACATGTTCTTAGAAATGGCAGACTTTCCATCTTTTATATGGCTGAATAAAATTTCATTGTATTTAGATACCACATTTTCTTAACCATTTTTCAGGAGACAGATTATGTCTACCTCTTAAGTAATGTGAGTATGCTGCAAGAAATAAAGATTATCAATTCACAATACCTATCTCCATTATCCAATGTAAAATGCTGGAATATATCATAGCTCTGTTTTTTGTCTTTTTATTGAGGAACTCCTTAGCTGTTTTCCATATGGATGTTAACAATTTATATTTCCATCAAAGTGTGCATGGCTCCTCTTTTCCACATTCAAGCCAACATTTGTTATCTTCTTGTCTTTTTGATAATAGATAGCCTAATACATGTGAAGTGATAATTGACTGTGGTATGATTTGATAATTATTGATCTTGAGCAAATATTAATGTAACTATGTATATAACAATTCCCTATTTGTATGACTTTTTGGGGAAAAATGTCAATTCACTTCCACTTTCCACTTTTTAGGTTGTGTTTTTTTTTCTTTGTTTTAAAAGATTTATTTATTTATGCATACAGAACTGGGCTACAGGCCAGAAGTGCAGGGGCAGTGAAAGGCTTCACCAGAGACAGAATAGGGAGCAGAACAGGATGAGTGAGGAAGTACACTGCTGAGGGGAGCAATGGGCGTATCAGGAGAGTTGGGCTGTGCCATATGGTCACCTCCAGACCAGGGATCAAACTCATGCTGAAGTGGCTTTAGTTTCTTAGTGCTGTGCTTTAACCTGTTGCGCCACCAAGGAGGGTCTTGTTTGTGTTTTTAACTAGTGAGTTGCAAGATCTCCCCTGTAATTTGGATATTAACCCTTAACACACATATAGTTTGCAGATAACTTCTCCCATTCCATAGGTTGCCTTGATATTGAAAAATCTGTTTCCTTTGCTGTGCAGGAGCTGTTTAGCTTGCTGTAGTCCCAATTGTTTATCTTTTTTAAAAAAATACATTTATTTATTTATGCATACAGAACTGGGGTTCAGGCCCAAGGCTTAGGGGCAGTGAGAGGATTCACCAGAGACAGAGTGGGGAACAGAACAGGACAACTGATGAAGTACATTATTATGGGGAGCAGCAGGCTGGCCAGAAGAGGTCTGCTGTGCCATGTGGGTGGGGTGGGGATCAAACTCATGCTGAAGTGGCTTTAGCTACTCAGTGCTGTGCTTTAAACTGCTGTGCCACCAGGGAGGGCCCCCACTCCTTTATCTCTTTAACTTTTCCCCCTGCTTTTAGCATCAAATCTTTTACAGCATTTTCCTACGTTTTCTTCTCAGAGTTTGAAGGTCCTAGGTTCCATAGCTAAATCTTTAATCCACCTTGATTTACTTTTAATTTTGCAAGTGTTGTAAAATAATAATTCAGTTTCACTCTTTTGCATGTTTATTTCTAGTTACCCCAGTGCCACTTACTGAAAAGTCTATCCTATTCAACTTTATGTTTTTGGCACTCTTGTCTGAGATTAGTTGGGTACACAAGAAGTATGAAACCTACAGCTTTTCTGTCTTTTTCTGATAGTTTTGGCTATTAGGGGTCTTTTGTGGTTCAGCAATAATTGCAGAAATCTATTTCTTTGAAAAATTCCATTAGAATTCTAATGGAACTGCATTGAATCTATACATTACTTTCAGTAGTATGAACACTTTGAAATAATAATTCTCTCAATCTAAAAACACAGGGTATCTTTCCATTTATTTGTGGCTTCTTCAGTTTCTTTCTTCAGTGTCTTATAGTTTTCAGTGTACAGGTCTTTTACTTCCTTGGCTAAACATATTCTTAAGTATTCTATTGTTTTGATGTTATTCTAAGTGTGATTGCTTTCTTCTTTTCCTTTCCCTGTGTTTTTGTTGTTGTTAGTGAATAGAAACTACCAACTTTTGCATGTTGATGTAATCCTCTTAAACCTTACTGGACTTTTTATTCATGCTAACAGTCTTTCATGAAGTCTTGAGGAAGTTCTGTATAATATTATCAGCTAACAGCCAATTTTAATTATTCTTTACTGATTTGTGTGTTTTATTTCTACTTATTGCCTAATTGTTCTGGCTAAGATTTTTTAGTACTTATTTAAGTAGTAGTAGTGAGAACGGGCATCTTTGACTTGTTTCTGAATAAAATAAGACAGTTTTTAACTTTTCTCCATCGTTTGTGATAGCTGTGGTCTTGTCACTTATGACCTTTACTCTGCTGAAGTACTTTCCTTCTACACCCAATTTGTTGAGAGATTTTTATCATGAAAGGATGTTGAATTTGTCAAATACATTTTCTGCTTCATTTCAGATACTATGACACTTATGACCTATAAATCAGGGTTAATCACAAACTCGTTAAACTTGGGAAGAATTACAGAGAGAATGAGAAGACTATCTCTATTCCAAGGCTATATATACACTAATATATTTCTCCTCTGAAATTGACATATTCTGCTTATCTTCTTTCATTATCTCAGTTATTTTATAAATTGTTTAAGCTTTTACATAAAATGTGTCAGACACTGTGTGAGGCTAATGACTTAGTAATGAGAAAAATAGATATCTTCCCTAGTATTTTGAGGAATGATAAGTACAGAAATCATGATAACAATGAGAGTGTTGACCTATTCCTGATAAAAGTCAATGTATTGTAAAAGTGACCTTTGCACTAAGATTTAAGTAATGAATAATAGTTTGGAAAAGAGGTGAGAAAAGAACATTCCAAAGAGAAAAAATACCTTGTTTCTTGAATTGAACTTGAGGATATAAAAGAAGCTTGATGAGTCTGAATAACTAGAATATTAGCATGATTAGGGGAAAGAAGTTATTAAAGAGGACAGTTTGTGAGTGAGAGTCTTAGATGCAGACAGTTCTTATAGTTCTGTTAAGAAGTTCATCCTTTTATGCTAATCTCTGGTAATCCATTAATGAAATTTTGGAAAAGTGGTGCTGGTGGTCATTTTCTGGTTTGAAAAAATCATTTTGCCTGCATGCTAGAGAATGAAATGATTGGTGTTAGCACAAGTGGAGAGAGGTCCATTGTGTAGAATGAGGTTTACCATCTTCGTCATGACAGGAAGAAAGGGGGAAAATGTGGGAACTGTCTATACATTTGTAGGGGAAACTAAGAGTTTCCAAGTCTGGGCTAATATCTATTCACTCAAGAATAATGTAATGTGTGTGTGTGTGTGTGTGTGTGTGTGTGTGTATAACACTTATAAAAAGAACTGGATGAGTCTTATTGAATTCCCTAAGTAAAGTCAAAGTGAAGGAAAAATATTAGAGGATAAGGTAGAAAGTCAAGACATATAATGTCATGAAAACCCTAGGTAAACATCTACCCATAAAGGGTCTTAAGAAATGGAAGAAAAAGCCATTGAACAATATTAAGTTGAAGCCATTAGGGAAAGAAAACAGAGAAAGAATATAGACACTAGATAATTCCTGTGAATACTATATAGTTGTGAAATATAGACAGAAATTTTAGAACTTCTTAAATTTGTTAAGAGTTTAAAGATTTTCATACTGTGAAAACCACCCTAATGTTATCCACTCGTTCAGAATTATCAATAAATCAATTGTTAGAAATACACTAGAGAAGAAATATTGATGTACATAAGACACACATCTGTACTAACAGTGTTAGTGGCAACATCACTTGTCAAGATAATTCCCTGAGCTCTTAGAAGTTTCTCTAACAAAAAAGGGTAATGTGAGTCTTCTACAGTATAACCAGATGTTGACTGTAATGGTTTTTGAGTAACTACATATGATTTCATGATTTTCTGGGGTTTTCAAGCTGACAGCTTTTATCAAAATTGGGTGCATTGTTAAGAACTGACATATGCACAAGAGAGGATGTACATTTGGTTATTTTCAGGGCATATGTATTTATTCACATTTTACAATTTAGATTCAATGTGAATTGCGACAAATGGGTCTTCAGCAGTGTTACTAACGGAAAAGTAAGCATTGCCATCACCAGAAACATAGATTTTAAGTCCTGTACACTTGCCGTCGATTTTATCTCCAGAAATAATATCACAGTATGTGCCAGCAGGAAGACCAGTTTGCAAAGTTAAAGACAAAGGCCTGCAAAACAAAATTTAAAATTAACCTAAATTCAATAACATGAAAAACAAACATCCATGCTATCTTTACAACAAACAACTTTGTATTGTGAAATGTTAAGCAATCAACGTCTCAGTGAGAAGAAAATCAAAACACATAGACATATCCAATAGATGTAAATCATTTTCTAAGAACCAAAAGTAATTTTTTTTAAAAAAGATTTATTTATTCATACAGAACTGGGGTACAAGCCAGAGGTTCAGTGGTGGTGAGAGGCTTTACCAGAGACAGAGTGGGGAGCAGAACAGGCAGACTGATGAAGTACACTGCTGAGGGGAGTAGTGGGCAGCAGGCGGGTCAGG